TCCTAGAAATAATACTTCAAGTTAGAGAAAAACTTCCTCTTTTGCTGGAAGGTCCTGCCATTTGGGAGGACTCTTGATGACAAGTAGTTTGCAATATCTGCATACCGAGGTGCTTCTTCAACTTTCATCAGTTTCTCATCCGGGAAGGCCTCTTTGATTTGAGTTTCCTCTTCACTTCCCTGGGTTGGTCGTTCAATCCTTAACAAATGATCTGCCACCACATTTTCTGACCCCTTTTTATCTCGGATCTCCAACTCAAACTCTTGTAGTAATTGGATCCATCTTATCAGCCGAGGTTTTGCTTTTTGCTTTGCCAACAGATGCTTGAGTGTCGAATGATATGTGTAGACTATCACCTTAGCACCTAGCAAATAAGAATGAAGTTTGTCAAATGCAAAAACCACGGCTAACAACTCTTTTTCAGTAGTGGTGTAATTCAACTGTGCATCAGTGAGTGTCTTGCTAGCATACTGAATTACATGCAAAACTTTGTTCTTTCTTTGTCCTAAAACTACTCCTAGTGCAAAATCACTAGCATCATACATCAATTCAAATGGTAGTCCCCAATCGAGAACTGCAATAATAGGTGCAGACACTAACTATTTCTTAAGAGTTTGAAAAGCATGCATGCATTCATCATCAAAATCAAAAGGAACATCCTTAATTAGTAAATTGCAAAGTGGTTTAGAGATTTTAGAGAAATCCTTGATAAACCATCTATAGAACCCTGCATGCCTCAAGAAACTCTGAACTACCTTAACGTTCGCAGGTGGTGGCAGCTTCTCAATCACTTCCGTTTTTGCCCGATCCACTTCGATGCCGTCCTTTGAAATTTTGTGACCGAGTACTATTCCTTCCTATACCATGAAGTGGCATTTCTCTCAGTTGAGCACCAAATTTGTCTCCTGACATCGCTGCAAAACAAATGAAAGATTAGATAAACAGTTGTCAAAAGAAGAACCAAAAATAGAATAGTCATCCATGAAGACTTCTATAAACTGCTTCACCATGTCACCAAAGATTGACATCATGCATCTCTAAAATGTGGCTGCATTGCACAACCCGAAAGGCATCCTTCTATAAGCAAAGGTGTCATAGGGACAAGTGAATGTCGTTTTCTCTTGATCTTCAAGAGCTATGGCAATCTAATTATAACCTGAAAAACCATCCAAGAAACAATAGTAAGCATGCCTTGCCAATCTCTCCAACATTTGATCGATGAAAGAAAGTGGGAAATGAGCCTTCCTTGTTGCTTCATTCAATTTTTGGTAGTCAATTCACACCCTCCAACCCGTGACTATCCTAGTTGGTATCAATTCATTGCTGTCATTCTTAATTATTGTGATACCTCCTTTCTTTGAAACCATTTGCACCAGGCTCACCCATGGGCTATCTGAAATAGGATAAATTATGCCTGCATCTAAAAGTTTCACCACCTCCTTTCTCACCACTTCCTTCATAGAAGGATTCAATCTCCATTGTGGTTGCACCCTAGGCTTGACATCATCTTCCATGAGTATCTTGTGCATACAAAAAGATAGAGATATACATCTAATGTCTGATATAGTCCATCCAATTGCTAATATATGCTCTCCTAACACCTGAATCAACCTCTCTTCTTCCAATTTACTCAACCTTGAATTGATGATCACTGGAAAGGTTTCTGATTCACCAAGATACACATATTTGAGGCAAGAAGCTAAAGGCTTCAGTTCAAGTTTTGGAGGTTCTTCCTTTCTTGCCTTTTCCTTCTCCTTTTCAATGTCAAATTCTTCAAATTCTGGATCTTAACTTGCTGTTATCGGCTGAAGTGCTTCCAACAGTCTAGCACACTCATTCTTTGCTGGCTCATCTACCTCTATTATTTTTTATTGGGCAATGCATGCTTCTAGAGGTAGTTGAGGGGTGTTCTCTCTAATAGCCTCTGCTACTAGTCTATCCACCACGTTTACACTAAAACACGAATCTAAATCTATTGGAAATTTCATAGCCTCAAAAACATTGAATGTTGCTGTTTCATCTTGGACCTTTAACTGCAATTTTCCTTCTTGCACATCAATGAGGGCTCTTCCAGTGGCCAAAAATGGTGCCCTAAGATGAGAGGCATTTCCTTGTCCTCTTCCATGTCCAAAACAACAAAGTCTACAGGAAATGAAACTTTGTCCACCTTCACCAAAACATCTTTAACTATGCCCCTCGGATGCTTGATGGATCTATCTACAAGCTGCAAAGATATGGTCATGGGTTTCACTTCACCAATCCCTAATCTCATGAAAACAAAAAAAGGCATTAGGTTTATGCTTTCACATAAATCACATAAAACTCTATCAAAAGTAATATCTCCTATAACACAAGGAATAGTAAAACTCCCTGGATCTTTGAGTTTTGGTGGCAGCTTCTTTTGTAGAATGGCGTTGCACTCTTCTGTGAGCATCACTGTTTCCTCATCTTCTAACTTCCTTTTGTTTGATAAAATGTCCTTCAGAAATTTTGTGTAGCTTGGCATCTGTTGCAATGCATCTGCAAAAGGAATGTTAATATGTAGTTTTTTAAATATTTCAATGAATTTGGTAAACTACTTATCTTGATTTTTCTTTCTGAGTCTCTAAGGAAAAGGCACAGGAAGGGTTTGGTGAGCCAACTCTGGTGGTATCTCGGGAAATGGCAATTTTTCTTTCTTTTGCCTTTGCCTCTCTTCCCGCTTTTGTTCATCTTCCCTAGAATTGGTTGGTTTCTCTTCAACAATGATCTCTTCGTCAACTTCCTCATCAGAATCTTGTTTTTCTTTTGGTGGCTTTCTTCTTTCCCTGATTGTTCCACCTCTTCCAAGACTGTCCCACTCCACAAAGTTATTGCATTCACTTGTTCACGTGGGTTTGTCACTGCGTTGCTTAGTAAGGAACCTTGTGGTCTCTCATTTAGCTTATCGGCCAATTGACCCACCTGTACCTCCAAGTTCCGAATGGACGTGCCATGGTTTCTGAAATTCGACCTCATCTCATTCATAAAACCTATGGTCTCTTGCATGAATTTTCCAAACATATCCTCTAGTTTTGTCAATCTTTGCTCCCCTGGTTGATTATTCACCCCCGCTTGGTTGTTTGGTATCGCTCTTTGGTTCCATTGATTGTTCTGCTGATTCTGTTGATTCTGATTGCCCTAAGACAAGTTCGGATGATTCCTCCAACTAGGATTATACGTGTTAGAGTATGATGCGTGTTTACTACAACATGCAATATGTAGCAAGTATACTAGTCACACAAGTAATAGAGTGATGAGTGAGTATCATTCCCACGAGGATTGGTTGCTAAGCACTAAGTTTTTCTACTATTTTCAAGTTGGAGCAATCGAGTTGTTTAGATTTATGGGAGAATTTTAAACTAAACTAAATCAAAATTTCTAAATATTCAAAACTAAATTATGAAAGTAAGATTTAAAACACGGATAAAATCAATTCAAACAAACGGGTAGGGTTTTGACTTCATTCGGACTCTTTGGGTTAAACCTAAGGATTATACTAATTCCATATTCACATGCATTGATTGTACATCGAACTCTCTAAAGTATAAAATATACGTTCTCAGGCTATATTTCCTTACTCTTCCCTATTAAACTTCTGCACCCAACAAAATAAAGACTAATAGTTCAAAGTTCATTAAGCACAAAGAATCCTGGATTGATTTCATTGATTCTTAAATCTATCTCTAGCATTTAATACTACAATGGTGATTACCCAAGAAGCTTAACATGAATTATTTCTCAATCTCATCATATTCATCACATAAAAACAATAATTTCAGAATAATCACACAATCAAAGCAAAATCATATGAAAATAACAATCATCAATTACTTAACCCATTAGAATCCGAACTACATCAAAACCCTAACCCAAAATGGGTTAGTTCATAGCTAAATCAACAACACGAACAAAAGAAACAAAAAACCCAATGTTCAACATAATGAAAAAAAGAGAAAAGACAAGAAATCTCCCAAAGATGACGAATCCACTGGTTTCAACCTCGAATCTTCACTCTTTTCAATCAAAGTTCGCCCAAATTAAACCTAAGAGAATGAAAATAGCTGCTCTCTCTCTAAAAACGAACTCTCTTACAAAAATGACTAAGTTTTTCTTTTATACTTAGCCCAAAAACCTAGGAAAATGCCTAAATGAAACTGTGCGCTTTTGGAATTTGCAGACTTCGCCGCGGCGAGGAATTGAATTAATCCCTCGTGCGCAACTCTCTTCGCCACAGTAAACCTTCATTTGGAATTCTGAATTTATAGAATTGCCCTCTGCTTGCTTCTTTGCTTGAATCTTCGATCTTCGTCACTCTCCTCATGGAAACAAGCTTCATAGTGCATCCACGCTGCTTCAGAACTTTCCAAACTTCTGAGATCCGCTCACTTCTGAGTCCAAAAACTCCAATTCGCTCCTTATTTGCAAAAAATGTCCATTTTAGCATGAAACACAAAATATAAAGAATTGAGTAGCAATTCAGGTCAAAATGAACTAAGAAGTATATGAAATCCGACTAAAAAGTCTAATAAAAATAGTATAATCCATGGATTATCAAAGTACAGATTGTTCTGTTGCCTCTGATTTCCTGCCAAGTAGTTAACCTGTTCTGATGATGATGAAGTTAAAGCAAACGTGTTCCCAACTTGACATTCATTGCTCATGTGGTTACCTGCACAAAAATCACAAGTTAATTGAGGTGCTTGAATAGAGTTCACTTGCATACCTCCCAATTGCTTCTGAAGTGCAGTAAGTTGGGTGAAATGGCTGTGTATGCATCAACTTCATGTAGACCCATAGATTTCTTCGATTGTATCCTTTCATCTGGTCTTTGATAATTATTGCTTGCCAAAACTTCAAGCAACTCATGAGCTTCTTTAGGTGTCTTGTTTTGCAATGCTCCTCCTGATGCTGCATCCACCATCGTTTGCACATTAACCATCAATCCATTATAAAATGTTTGGACTTGCATCCAAACTGGCAAACCATGCTGTGGACAACTCCTCAATAGTTTCTTGTATCTTTCCCAAGCCTCATATAATGATTCAGACTCTTCTTGTAGAAATGATGCGATATCATTTCTTATCTTCGCAAATTTTGCTGGAGGAAAGAATTTGGTCAGGAACTTCTATGCTAATTCATTCTATGTAGTGATCGTTCCTGGTGGTAGTGCCATTAACCATCCCTTTGCTTTATCCCTTAATGAAAAAGGGAACAATCTCAATATGATGGCATCATCTGACACTCCATTTGACTTGAAGGTATCGCAGATCTCTAAAAAGTTTGCAATGTGCAGATTTGGATCTTCCTTCGAATCTCCCTTAAACTGTACCGACTGCTGGATCATTTGGATGATTGCCAGCTTTATTTCGAAGTTGTTGGCTTGCATTGCTGGTCTAGTTATACTTGACCCACTGCCATCAACCATGGGAACTGAGAATGCCCTCAATGTTCTATTTTCTGCCATTTTAACAACTATGGCCTCTCGTTCTCTTCTCTCTCTGTTAAGTGTTCTTGCGATTCTTTCAATCTCTGGATCAACAGGAACCACTGGCTGACGTCTAGCTCTTCGCATAAACTACACAAAAAGAGAGAAAAAGTGAGATCACAAGCTAACAAACAAGAACAATAAAATTAACCAATAAACAATTTAACAAAAATAAAACTCCAATCTAACTACACACGAAAAATTCAATGTTAACACAAAAATCAATCCCCGGCAACGGCGCCAAAAACTTGTTGCGTTGTAACTACAACATGCAATATAGCAAGTACACTAGTCGCAAAAAGTAATAAAGTGATAAGAAAAGTATCGTTCCTACAAGGATTGGTTGTTAAGCCTAATTTTTCTAATTGTTATCAAGTTGGAGAAATCGAAAAGTGTTGGATTTACAGGAGAAACTTAAACTCAATTGAAAGCAAAATTTACTATGTAATTAAAAAGCTAATTAATGAAAGCAAGATTAAAGCAAGAGTAATATCAAGTAAGACAAATGGTTAGGGTTTTGACTTCATTAGGACTTATGAATTAATTCTACGAATTATGCTACTTCTACACTCACATGCACGGATTGTAAATCGAACTCCCTAATGTGTAAAACATACCTTCTCAGGTTATGAATTCCTAGTTTTCCCTATTAAGCTTCCGCACCCAACAAATTGAAGATTAATAGATCCAAGTTCATTACGCTAATGGAATCCTAGATTGATTTCATTGATTCTCAAACCTATCTCTAGCGTTTAATACAACAATGGTGATTACCCAAGAAGCTCATACATGATTCATTTCTCAATCTCATCATGTTCAACAAATATATTCAATAAAAATCAGAATAATCACACAATCCATGATATAGAATGTAAAAGCAACAATAATCTATTGATTACCCATAGAAATCCGAATTACATCAAAACCCTAACCCAAAGTGAGTTAGTTCATAACGAAATGAACATAAATAGCAAGGAAAACAGTAAACACAGTGTTCAACATGTTGAAACAAAGAAAAGAGAGTAAAAGATATCCCCTAATTGATGAATCCACAAGGTTAAATCTCAAATCTTCTCTCCTTTTCTCCCAAAATGTCAAAGTTGCTCCAAACAAAGACGAACCCCTTATTAAAATGTCCAAGTTTTTCTTATATAGTCAGTCCAAAAACCTAAAAACTTTCCTAAAATAAAAACTGTACGTTTTAACAAAAACTGAAAATCGTAGACTTCACCGCGACAATGAATTCCCAAGAGTTTATTGCCGCGGCGAACCTTCCTGAACAATTCTGAATTTATGGAATTGCTCTCTACTTGCTTCCTTGCTCGAATCTTCAATCTTCGATGTTGTCCAATGGGAACAAGCTTCATAGTGCTTCAAATCCGCTTCAAAACTTCCCCGAATTTTTAGATTCGCTTACTTTTGGGTCCAGAAACTTGATTCTGCTCATTATTTGCTCAAAGTGCACATTTTGTCTTGAAACATAAAACATATGCAATTAAGTTACAATTCAGGCAAAAATGACATAACAAGTATTCAAAATCTAGCCAAAAAGCCTTAATAAAACAGTATAATCCTCGGATTATTAGTGGGTCGTGACTTTGGAACAATAAATGATAAATGCCAAACAACAAGTAAATAAAAATGGCGAACAAAGAAAAGTTATGAATAATACCTCTTTTGTTGATAAAACTTTTTGGCTGTGAATGACCTTACAATAAATGACTGAAAGAAAATAAAACATGAGTGGAACCTGAGCTGCTCATTGGTAATACCTTCACAGATGCTCGGTGTTCTAGGCTTGCAATATTGCTTCGCTGTTAAGGCGTTCCAGGTGGAAGGTTCCTAGTGCAAGCTTTTTGGAGATCCTGAATGGACCTTCCCATTTGGGCCCAAGTGCTCCTAAGCTTGAAAATAGTAGAAAACTTGGTGCTTAGCAACCAATCCTCATGGGAACGATACTCACTCATCACTTTATTACTTAATGTGACTAGTGCACTTGCTATCATTGCATGTTGTAGTTACAACACATCAAGTTTTTGGCGCTGTTGCTGGGGATTGAGTTTTGTGTTAACATTAAATTTTTCTTGTGTTAGCTAGATTGGAGCTTTATTTTTGCTTAATTATTGTTTGTTTAATTTTTGTTATTCTTTTAGGTTAGTTTGTGATCTCACTCTTTCTATTTTTCTGTGTAGTTTATGCGAAGAGCAAGACATCAGTCAGTGGTTCCTGTTGATCCAGAGATTGAAAGAACCACTAGAAGACTTAACAAAGAAAGAAGAGGCTACAGTGGAACCAGAAGTCATCGTGTAGAGATGCAGAAAATAGAACACTAAGGGAGATTCTGTTCCCTCACTTGATGGTAGTGGGTCGAGTATCACTAGACAGCAGTCAAAGCCAACAACTTGAGATAAAGCCAGCAATCATCCAGATGATCCAGTAGTGGTACATTCAAGGGAGATTTGAAGGAAGATTCAAATCTACACATTGCCAATTTTTTGAGATTTGTGATACTTTCAAGTCAAACGGAGTGTCAGATGATGCCATCAGTTAAGACTATTCCTATTTTCGTTGAAGGATAAAGCTAAGGGATGGTTAATGGCATTACCAAAGGAAGATTACAACATGGAATGATTTAGCACAGAAGTTTCACCAAATTCTTCTCTCAGCAAATCGGCAAAGTGAGAAATGTATCACATCGTTTCTACGAAGAGTGAATCATTGTATGAGGCTTGGGAGAGATACAAAGAATTACTAAGAAGGTGTCCACATCATGGGTTGCCAGTTGGATGCAAGTCCAAAACTTTTATAAGGATTGATAGTGAATGTGCAAACTATGGTGGGATGCGCATCAGGAGGAGCACTGAAAATAAGACTTGGAAGAGGCACGAGTGCTTGAGTTCTAGCAAGCAACAATTATCAAAGACCTAATGAGAGGGTGCAACCGAAGAAATCTATTGGTCTCTGAAGTTGATGCATATAAACCATTTCAGCCCAACTCACAGACTCAGAAACAATTGGGAAATATGCAGGTAAACTTATTCAAGTCCTCAACTAATTGTGTTTTTGTGCAGGTAGTCACATGAGCAGTGAGTGTCAGTGGGGAACACATTTGCTATCATCGTCATCATCGGAGCTGTTAACTACTTGGGGGAATCAAAGACAACCGAACAATCCGTACTCCAACACAAATAATCCTGGTGAAGGTATCATCAAATCTCCTTGGGGCAATCAAACCACAAACAATCAAAGGAACCAAAGAGCATTGCCAACTAACCAAACGGGGTGGAACAATCAATCAGGAGAGCAAAGAGTGACAAAATTGGAGGACATGTTTGGAAAGTTTTTGCATGAGACCAGGTTTTATGAATGAGACGAGGACGAATTTCAAAAATCAAGGGGCGTCCATTCGGAATCTGGAGGTACAGATGGGGCAATTGGTGAAAAGTTAAATGAGAGACCACAAGGGTCTTTACCAAGCAACAAGTGACTAACCACGTGAGCAAGTGAATACAATATTTGAGGAGTGGGACAGTTTGGAAAAGGTGGAGCAAGCAGGGAAAGAAGAAATGCCAAAATGAAAAGGAAGAATCTGATGAGGAAGTAGATGAAGGATAGTTGCTGAAGAGAACCATCTAGTTCTAGGAAGAAGAACAGAAACGGAAGTGAGGCAAAGACAAAGGAAAGAAATTGCCATTTCCCGAGATACACCAAAATTGGCACATCACACTTCCTTGTGCCATTCCTCAAGACATAAGAAAAAAGAATCAAGATAAGCAGTTTTCCAAATTCATTGAAATATTTAGAAAATTGCTATTAAAAATTCCTTTTGCATGCATTGCAAAGATGCAGAGCTACGCGAAATTTCAAGGAGATTTATATAACAAAAGGAAGTTAGAGGATGAGGAAACAATGATGTCAGGAGGAGGGTAGCACCCTTCTCCAAAGAAGCACCCCGAACTCAAAGATCCAGGAGTTTTACTATTCCTTGCATTATAGGAATATTACTTTTGATAGAGTTTTATGTGATTTGGGTGCTGCATCAATTTAATGCCTTTTTCTTTTTCAGGAGAGAATTGGTGAAGTGAAGCCAACGACCATGTCATTGCAACTTGCAGATAGGTCCATAAACATCCAGGGGTATAGTTGAAGATGTGTTGGTGAAGGTGGACAAGAATACTTTTCCAATAGATTTGTTGTATTGGACATAGAGGAGGATAAGGAAATGCCTCTATTTTGGGCCAACTATTGGCTACGGGAAGAGCACTCATTGATGTGCAAGAAGGAAATTTGTTGTTAAGAGTCAAGATGAAACAATAACATTCAATGTGTTTGAAGCTATGAAGTTTCCACGATTGGATTCGTGCTTTAGTGTTGATGTGGTGGATAAAACTAGTAGCGAAGTGATAAAAGAACACTAACTACTCTAGAAGCGTGTATTGTCAAATCAAGAACATAGAGGTAGAGAGTCGACAAAGAATGAATGTGCTAAAATTTTGGAAGCACTTTGGGATTGATGAGAGCCAAGATCTTGAATTTGAGGAATTTGTGTTTGAGAAAGAGAAGGCAAAGGAAAGAAGGAAGAACAACTCCAAAGCTTAATT